ATAGGTTTCACATTAGCATGATCAAGTGTTTTGGGAGTCTCATTCTTCTCAGAGTTAGCCATAGTTTTTTTGTGATCCACACAGTCAATGACTAGCCTTTGCTAGTCAATGAAACACAGATAGACATTCCTCTAGTACTTCCTGCTTTCAGTCAAGATCCATCTAACATTAGCTATAATATCCCTAGTACCACGACCCCTTCTAAACCCAGCTTGCACTTTTGGCAGTTTTCTGTTGATGTGCTGCTCCAGTTGGTTTTGGATAATTCTCAGCAGAATCTTGCATGCATGTGAGGCCTTTGAAAACACTGTGTACAATAGACCACACTTAAACTAGCAGATATGACAACTGAAGCTGATCCCTCAAGTATGGAAACACAGAGGAGGAGGAACAGTTTTAACAGACACTGGTGATTAGAACATGGAATGTGAGAACATAGGAAAACTGAATATTGTTAAAAAAGAAAGGGGATGCATAAATATTGACACACTAGGTATGGTGAAATGAGGTGGAATGGCATGGGACATTTTGAGTCAGATTATCATATGATCTACTATACTGGAGATGAAAAGGTAAGGGAAAATGGGGTTGCTTTCATGGATAAAAAAGTCATTTCTATATCTGTCCTGAAATACAATGTTGTGAGTGACAGGATAATATCCACACATATACAAGGAAATCTTGTCAATAACATTATCATTCAGATACATGCACCAACAACCAGAGCCAAAAAGAATAGAAGATTTCTACCAACTTTTGCAGTCAGAAATCACTCGAACATGCAATCAAGATGCATTAATAATAGATGAATGGAATGCAAAAGTTGGGAACAGAGAAGAAAGGTCAGTAGTTGAGAAACATGGGCTTGGTGACAGAATTGAAGCTGGAGATAGAATGATAGAATTTTGCACAACCAACAACTTGTTCATTGCAAATATGTTTCATAAGAAACATAAAAGCAGGCTTATACACATGGATTTCCCTTGATGGTATGCATAGGACTCATATAGATTACATTTGTGGAAAGAAGTGCTGGAGAAGCTCATTATCAGTTATGAAAACTAGGCCAGGTTCTGATTGAGGAGCAGACCACCAACTACTCATATGAAAGTTCAAACTGATAAGGAAAATGAAATCAAATCCAAGGGAACCAAAATTTGACCTTGAGTCTATCCCACCTGAATTTCAAAACAATCTAAGGAACAGGTTTGAAGCCTTGAACACTAATGAGCGAAGACCCGATGAGCTGTGGAAAGATAAAAAGAATATCATCCAGGAAGAAGGCAAGGGGTCTTGCAAAGACAGGAAGAGAAGACCACGATAGATGTCAGAAGAGACTATGAATATTGCACTAGAGTGCCAAGAAGCCAAAGCAAAGGAAGAAATTAAGATGTTAAGGAGCTGAACAGAAAGTTTCCAAGGGCAGCACAGGAAGATAAACTGAAATATTACAATGAAATGTACAAAGAGCTGGAGTTAGAAAATCAAAGAGGCCAGACTCGCTCAGCATTTCTTAAGTTGAAGAAACTGAAGAGCAAATTCAAGCCTCAAGTTGCAGTACTTGGGGATGCTTTGGGCAGAATATGAAATGATCCAGGAAGCATTAAAAGAAGATGGAGTCATTGTACCAAAAGAAAAGCCACAAGAGTGCTTTAAAATTATCTAATACATATTATAAAACCTCCACATTACAATATTTGGAGTAATTATGATGATCATTATTGGGTTTAAATAAAACTTCAATGTCTCCAGGCTATTTTCATTAACCTGTAAAACACAAGTAGGGAAAAAGAAAACAAAACAAAACAAAAACCCAGACACCAACA